ACCCCCTCCTCTCCTCAGCCCTGGCAGGGTGGTGAGTAGTTAACACCCCCTCCCCAACCTCTCCTTGTTTAGGGTCCCCAGACTTCCAAGCGGATTGAGAAGAGAAACCCCAGGGATTTCCCAAGCCAACCCTCCAGCCTGTTAGGACCTTGATGTCCAAAAGAAGACAGCTGAAGGAAGGTGCCTGCATCCATCCTACCCCACTCCCACAGTGCCCCAATGCCAGCCCCCTCTTGGTGTTCTCCTCCTCTCAGGAACTGAGTTGAAATCCCACTGGCAGCCCTGACATCCCTGAGGAAAGAGAGGGGAAGGAAAAGTCCCACCAGTGTCCTGAGGGGAGGAGCAAGAGGCTACCAGGATGTGAGATGTCTGTGGGCAAAGTGCCTGCTTAGTCCATGAGGGGCTGTGGGAGCTGGAGTGTGGCTGGATACCCGTATTCCCAACAACTCCATCTCTGCGTGAAGCCAAAGCGTCAAAACCCTGACAGCGTGGGTGACTGTCTCTAATTGAGTCCTTGTCCCAAACTCTTTTGGTGTCTGGTTTTTTTCCTCTCTTCTTTCCCTGGGGTTGGAGCAGCTGGGGAGAGATCCCACCATGACTCATTCTCTCCTCTTTCTCCTCCTTCTCCCCGCTCCATTGACCCCACCCTTCCCAGTCCAGTGGGGTGGTATTGAGTCCCAGCAGCAGATGGGGCAAGCTTTTTTTCAGCTGGAATAGCCTGCTGGGCCTTTAGCCCCCAGTTCCACTAGTGCCCCTAGGCCCCTCCCTCCACAGAACTAGGACTTCTACTTCTCCCATCCCACCCTGGAAAGCTAGGGGGTAGACAAAGTCTCATTACCTTATAAGATTTTTGTTAAAGTTTTACTTAGTGTCCTTATTTCAGAGGATGGTAACAATACAGCTGGCTCCCCTCAGTCCAATCCTGTAGATTTCTTCAGTTACCCTGGCAGGGCCATGCTCCCTCCTGAAATTGGCCATTCTTCAAAAGAAATAGACGTACAGAGTCCTTAAGATTGATGGGCACCTGAGTTCCTGCTCCCTACCCCCTTGCAGGTTTCCAACCCCCTCAAGACATTCATGGATGGATGACAGGAGCTGATACTGACCTCCCCCTCTGTGACCATCTTCTCTTCGGCCATGGAGGAAGGCTTGCTGCCCCTGGCCATGACCTCTGACCCCAGGTCCTTTAATCAACAACTCCCAGAGCCTCCAGATCCAAGATGTGTCTTGGAGCCCCAGGACAATCCTGAATTGGCACCTGCCCTGGTGTGTGCTCTTTGCTGCTGCTTTGGAATCATCTACTGCTGCTTCGGTGAGGGCAGGGCCAGGGTTCCGGGGGGCAGCTGCCCAAGACTGTCACCCTCAAGGATGATGCTAACTTTCTCCATTGCTCCTGGGCCACCTCTACTCCTCTATCAGGGACTGTCTACCTTCAGTGTGACCCATGCTGCTCTTGCCAGCTCTTCTTGTCCATCTCCCACACCCGTGCTCTCCAGCTCTGACACCCCCCCATCCCCCCCATCACCACCCTCCAGCCCCAACAACTATTCAACTTGCCTTCTCCCTCCCTCGTACCTCAAAACTCCATTCCCAGATTATCCTCCATGTTTACGGCTTCTTCACCCTTCCCCAATAACCTGAATCAGTCTGTGCTGATTTCTTCCCAGCTACCATCCCTGGAAGGACTAAACCTTCTTTCTATACCTACTCCCCTCAATGCATCCATCTTACCTCCTGAGTTTCCCTCCCGTCCCCTCATAGTTCCTGAAAAGTCCCTGCCCTCCCTGAGATGATCCCTTTCTGCCCTTGCCTTGAGGTCCCTGGGTGTGCTGCTCCTGTCTTCTGCTCCTCTGGTTAGCCAGTCCTCTTCCTTCTAATTCATCAGAGCCATCCCGATAGACACCCGCTTTCTGTCTCTCAGTTCCTCCTGTCTCCCCTCCCAGGCTACCGCTGCTTCAAGGCAGTGATGTTTCTCTCGGGCCTGCTGTCAGGAGCTCTGGTGATCTTCCTGCTGTGCCACAAGGAGCGAGTGCTAGAGACACAGCTGAGCCTGGAGGTGAGCGCGGGCATTGCGCTGGGCATCGGACTCCTCTGCGGCCTGGTCACCATGCTGGTTCGCAGTGTTGGGCTCTTCCTGACTGGTCTCCTGCTAGGCCTAACTCTGGGCGCCGGGGTCCTGCTGGGCACCGAGCCCGTCTACCAACCACCTTCAGCCTGGGTGCCGGCCGGGGGGCTGGTGGGGCTGGCGTTGCTGGGAGCCCTGCTCACGCTTCGATGGCCACGTCCATTCACAGTTCTGGGCACAGCCCTGCTGGGTGCTGCGGTGCTGGTCGCCTGTGCTGACTACTTCCTGGAGGGGCTGGCACTGGGCAGTCGGCTAGGCCAACGCTTGCAGGCACTTCCAGCCTTGCCTCCTCTCTGCTGGTATAGCTGGGTCTTGCTGGGGACCTGGCCAGCCCTGGGAGCCCTTGGGGCCCTGGCCCAGTGGAAGCTCATGGACGAGGAACATGGAGGCCACGCCAATGGTGAGTTAGTGCTATGGGACAGAAGCAGCCAACCTGTGCCTTCTCATGTACCCACTTCCCAGACTTGAGGAGAAGGGGGAAAATACACTTGAGGGAGGAGGGCGGAGGTGTCTAAGGTGAATGGGCCGGAGCATTGAAAGAAAGTTGGAGTTGGAGGAGCCAAAGGTCTGGGTAAGAATGAGAAGAGAAATTGTCAGAAGGAGCAAGAAAGAGTTATTGGGGACTGTTATAGAAGGAAAGGAAGATCTCAGGGAAGTCCAGGAGGAAAGTGTAGGAAGATTCCAAAGAAGACTTTCTTTTGGAATAATTCGTGGGACTGTGAGGCTTGAGAGAGTCAGAACAGGGAGATGGAGTGGGTTTCTCCAGAGTGTGAGTGTGTTTAGGCGTGGGGTTCAGGGTCTAAAGAGGCCTCCCTGAATCTGTATTGCCCCCTCCCGAGCAGTGGTCTTGAGCCACCAGCGAAGGCATCTCCAACTCCTTCGGATCCGTCAGCAAGAGGCCAAGTGGCACCGGACCTCCCCTGGGGTGGGGCTCTGTGAAGGCAGCTACCGGCGCCAGCTCCCCCACAATGCCCGGAGCCCTGCTGACAGTCTGGCTCCAGTGAGTTAGGGGGAAGAGGGTACTCTGGGGGATGGGGCAGAGGGCCCATGGGGATGGTCAGGGTGGGAGGGGGCTCTGACCCAGGCCCTTCCCTTTGTCCTCTCTGCCCTGTGCCCCTGCAGAGTTATCTCCAGAGCCTTCGAGAGCGCCAACTAGGACCAGGCACCCAGGCCACAGCCCCCCACACCATCCTGGACCTGGATTCTGACTGTGGTTCCACTGTACCCCTCACCACACCTGGTTCCACCCAGACCTGAGCCTAAACCTCCAGTGATGCCCCCACCCCTAGCAAGGGCCTGGGAATACTAGGTGGGCAGGGTCTGAGCCCACAGGACCCACACACAAACTTCCTCACCTCTTGGATTGGAGATAGAATCTGTGCTTCAACCCAGACCAGCCCTGTAGGGATATGTTTCAGGGAAGACAGAGAGGAACCTTGTGGGGAGGGGAGAAGAATGGAAGTATGAGTACTTACCTCTGTCCCATAACAGAGGTGCCCTGGTCCCTGAAGCAACTGACTCCCTAATTCCCTCCAAACCAAGGAGGCCCTTACCCAAATAGCCTTTTATATGCCTGCCTCAGTGTGCCTCACAATGGTAAAATACGGGGTTTTGTTTTTGTACGATGTATATAAAATCAGGAAGCCTCCTAAAGCACTTAATAGCTTTTTGTTGGGGAGAAGGGCACAGAGGAGCTCCAGGACCCCCTAATCCCCAGGCCCCTCATTAGGGGGTAGTTGGGTTCCTAGCCAGCCTTTCCCCCTGGACCTGATAGGCTCAAGCCCCCTTCTGCTACCTCAGTTGGGGGTCTGTCCTCCATGGTGTTTCTCTTTCTCTCCTTCTTAACGTGAAGAAGACCACAGGGTAGTGCCTGGCTCAGCACCACCTACCCCAAAGACTAGCTTCTTGCTCCAGGGAGAGAGCATTGACCAACATGCCAGAGTCTTGCCCTTTTGCTCAAAGGAGCCTGGTCTTTGGGGCTGCGTGAGAGACAAGTGCCTTCTCTGCTGCGCATTGGAGATGATGCAAATCTCTTCCTCAACCAGAACTTTGTCCCAGCCACTAACCATTCTAACTCTCTCCACTCTGATTCTCCTGCCCAAAGTCTGTTCCCTGGTTCCCTAGACAGCCTGAAAGAAGCTCTGTCTCTCCCCTGGGCAGCGAGGCTATGACGGGAGGGAGGAAGAACATGGGAGCATGTGAATAAAATGGTATTGAACACTGAACCAGGGAGTCTGGCCTCTACTGTTGCAGCTCTTTTCTGTCTTTGCACCCCAAAACAAAGTTAGCCAGACTGACAAGTCCTCTGTCCCCTAAAGATCTGATAAAGGTACCCTTATCAGACTGGACTGCTGTACACACACACACAGCCAGAGGAAGAGCTGTTCGGTCCTCTCTTTTGAACATGAAGTTAGCTTTTATTAAGCACAAATGTGCCAGACAGTGTGCCAGGCACCTCACATACAGTATTTCATTTAATGCAACAACCCTGAAGGATTGGTATTAGCATTTTACAAATGGGAAATCCAAGGCTAGATAAGGTTAATTAACTTGCCCAAAGTCATAAGCAAGTAAATGTGATTCTCAAGGATTCCAAAGCCCCTGCTCATTTTACTGGCCATGCTGTTCTCTCGCACTTTATCCAGGAAGAACAGGGCCCAGGCATCCAGCTTCCCAGCTGTTGCCTCCTGTCCACTAACGGCCTGATTGATGCCTTCCCTCTACCGCTGTCCTCCAGAGAGTAGATAACACAGTTGGAAGTGCTCTCTAGGACAGGGAAGAAGTGGATGGAGTTGGGGGCTGACCCAGAGCTAGGGAGTCACTGCCCAGGAGGGGAAGAGCACAGGGGAGTGGTGGCTAGGGCTGGGACATGTAGAGGCCTGAGGTCTGTGTGGTTCATGCCCCTGCTGCAGCGCCTGCAGTCTCGTGAGCAGGCATGTGATTCAGGTCTTAGGCCTCTGGAGGGTGACATTACGAGGAAATGAAAGGGTAGTGGGGCCTGTGGCTGAGCGGGTAATGTCCAAGATTGTGTCTCTGGGTGAGGGGTCAGTGTTCAAGGAGGTATCTATGGCTGAGGAAGTGGTATCCAAGATTGTTCCTGTGGCTCAGTGGTCAGTGCCTGTGGCTGAGGGAGTGGTGTCCTCACCGGATGGGGTCGTGTGTGGGGTCTGGGGACGACAGTGCATCCAGTTGTGGGCAATATCTCTGGGATAGCCTTTCTCTACTCGAAGCTGCCGGTTGAGGGCCCAGTACTGTTTGCCCTTGAAGAAGTAGACACGGCCATCTCGCCAACTCATAGCAGCTGAGGGCTGGTCTGGCACTCCCGTAAACAACCCCTTGATTGGTTTGGGGTAGCGGCTCAAGTCGTTTCGGGCCAGCTCATCCCACTGCCAGTACCCGGAGCCCTAGGCGTGGGGTGGATAGGGAGAAGAGGAGGATGAGGAGAGAGCTTAGGGACCCCCAAGGTCCACCTCCAGCCCACTGCAGCTGCAGGAGGTCTCCCTTCAAGAGCAAGTCTCTGCTTCTCAGTGTGAGGTATCCCGTCCCAAATAAGAAGGGATTTGCCCTTCTTGAACTTCGTACCTTAAAGAGGAACACCTTTTGGTTGAGAGGCCAATAGAGAGCTGCATCCAGGTTGGGTTCTACTCTATTCAGAATCTTGGGGAAGCCAGGATACAGCCTGAAATTAATGTAGCGCCACACCTTGTCTCCTGAGAGCGTGTAAGGAAAGAACAAGTCACCTCTGTCCTCAGGTGGTAGCTTTTGTTTCCTCCATTCTACCCTGTCAGAAACTTCTCAACTATCCCTCTACTTTTATGGCTTCTTTGATGGTAGGCCCTCCTCAGGTAATACACTGTAAACTAGTCCCCTTACCCTTAAAGAAGTGAATCCATTGTGTTCGAGGAGAGTAGACAGCAGCATCCAGATTTCCTGGGAGCCCCTCCCAAAGGGCAGACACTCGGAACAAGGGACCCAGCCCTGAATCTGTCACAGTCCACACGTAGTTCCCCTTGAAGGCATAGGTCTTTCCACGGGGCCCTGAGAGCAAAAGTGTGTCAACAAGTCAAAAAGACAGGGGTCAAATAAAGACTTGTGGGTATCTCAGGCAGGCTGATTCCTCAAAAATTCACTCAACTTTAATTCAAGGAGAAGATTAAGGGCAGATAAGGATGATCCAGTGTTCTCCTTGATTGTTAAGAGCACTTCAGCTCTGGGCCACTCAACAAAACAAAAGCCCTGCAGATAGCTGCTCCCCCTTGGGGGCCCCACTTTCCACCCCGAGTGGCTTCCAAGTTGTCCTTCCATGCAGGTACAATACCCTCTCTAATAAACATTCCAGTTAATGTTTTCTCCATCTTGCTGTATTTCCAGGTGTGTTTTAGTGGCTCTTATAAGGTGGCAACCAAGATAAATGCCTGCCTGGCCCATCTTTAATTTGGCTCTGAACCCTCCCACCCCATGCCACATGCCTCCTTCCATGCCCACTAACCCCTGCCTGGTGTCTAACTTCCATTGCTCATGCTAAGGTCCCATGTCACTCCCATTTGTCCAGGTCTCAATCAAGGTCAGCGGGCTGCCCTCACTGCCTGCCTACAACCTGGAGGGGAAGGGCCTTACCCAGCATCATGGCATCCAGTTCTCCACTGCAGGGGTCCGGCATGGGACTGGGTTCTGTGGGCACTTGGGGTACAGTGGGGAGCTCCGTCTCTTCTTCCTCATCCCCTGTGTCTGGGGTCTTCTTGCCTGTAAGGTAACGTAATGCTGCTCAGGAAGAGAACTCAGAGCACCTGGCCTCCCCAGTCTTCTGTAAGTTGGGCTCAGAGGCCCCCTGGGGAGAGGAGAGGGGGAATTCTGGAGACATTCCCTTCTTGGGAGGCACGATCATATTGGCATCAGCAGGAGACACGTTTTAGTTTTGAGAGGGGGAAGGAGGTTTGCTGGAATGTTCATTCTTCATCCCCAAGAGTGGATGGCAGGGGAGGGAGGACTGGAAGGAAGATTAGACATGAAAGTGTCAGAAAAACAGCTCCTGAAAATGAAGAAGGCTGAATAGCTGGGCAGGAGGAAGCGAAAGAAACCAAGCCATTTCCCTCCATGGAGGTCAGATCTGTCTCTTCAAGCCTGAAGAGATGCTGGTCAGAAAGACCCTCGTGATCACTAGCAGAAAGGACTGACCATAGAGAGCCTGGATCCCTGCCACATCATCTGGGTGCAGCTTGAAGTGGGGCCGGTAGCCAGTGTAGACAGGGGCCATGAGGGCCTGGGTGTATCGGGAGTGCCCAAGCCCCAGGGCGTGGCCCAGTTCATGGGCTGCAATGATGCGCAGGTTAACCCCCCGGTAGGTCCTCTCAGTCCAGAGCTCATCTTCATCAAAGTGCACGCTGCCCAGCTCTGGGATGTCAGCATGGGCCAGGACCTTCCCTGGACAGAGGCAAAGGTGGACAGGAGGGAGGTCAGAGTCTCCTAGGCTGGACCATCCCCTGCCTGTTATAAACTCCAGTTACTCCAATCCCTTGAAATTCCCCCATGTATATTCACTGTCTCTTGGATGCCTCTCTCTCTCCTTTCAGATTCCCTTGTCATCACCCACGTTCTCTCGGGGATGCCCATTACTCTATCCCTTTACCTCCCAGCCATTCTCTCCTCCCTGGCCCAGTCCTCTCTGAGGTGTGCCTGCAGCAGGGGACTTAAACCGACAAGGAAGGCATGAGCTTCAAAAGGGAGGCTAGGTAAGGCCCAGGGAGGTGACCAACTGCTCCTCAAGGGAATTTTAGAAGGTGGTTAGAGACAGGTGGACATAGGGGACAGCCTGAACATTAAGGTTCCAGAGTCACTGGTTCAAGGGGACAGAGATAATCTCAGGTCTGTGAGGTGTGAGCAGAGAGCTCGTGCCTACCAGGCCCATCAAAGCCTTTGGAGCAATACAGGCTTCGGCGGCCGTGGAAGGAGAGGTGGATGTCAGCCCAGCCAGCCTGCACCTCCTGGAAGGTCAGTGGGGTCACATTGCTCCAGTATTGGAAGGCTTGAAGCAGGGCTGCCCGGGCTGTCTGGGATGGGATTGTGGAGGGCAAGTTCAAGATGCGGAATTTCAGGTGCTTCTTTCTCCAGCGACCTGATTATCAGACCAGAAAATAGATTAGAAACACAGATCCTTCTGCCAAGCCCAGCAAGCTCCCCTGAGTGTGGCACTCAATCAGCAAAGCTATGTAACAACCCCTCTGGGCAAATGACAATCAGATAATCACCAGGTGATCATCCATCAACACTGAGCTGGTCCAGGCTGTCCCGATGCCACCCGTACTCTAGTGCCATGCCACCTCCTCGTCTCCCTCCCTTTCCCAGGCTCAGTCCTTACCCAGCAGCAGGTATTTAAGAGTCCTCTTGTTGAAGGGGTCCTCTAGGCCACAACGGGGTTGCCTCATGCGCACCCTTGTGGCGTCATCCAGCTGACCTGAGACTGGCAGCTCAGATGCTTCCTGAAAAGCTCTGAAAAGAGGGAGACGGATGGATCCAGCAGGGCAGGGGAATATGGAATGACTGGCAACTGGCAATAGCTCTTTGGCCCCCTGCTGCCCAGGGTGGTAGCTGAGAATGGCATAGAATCTCTGAAGCTGTTGGGGTCACTCCAGTATCCAATCCTTATAATTGGGACTTTCTCTTCTGTTCTGCAGAAATGGCGATACTCCAACGTCACCCCCCCCCATCTTCAATCTCGTATTTAGGTAAGGTTCCCCTCAGGTGTAGCCTTCTTCCCCTACTGCAATTTCTAACCTTCTCCTGCTCTGGGGAAGTGTCCCACCCCCCATGCTCTGGAGACTCTCCCACCACTGCTCCAACCTGAGGGCCTGTCCTCCCTCAGCCTTCTCCCTGGTGGCTGGACCCCCCTCCCAGCCCAGCCTGCTCTGGGGCAGTTTCATCCATCAGGTACTGCAGGCACTGTGGATTTTCAAGGGACTGTGAACGTATCTGAGAGCAGAAAGAAAAATGATCCATTAGATCCAAAATATGAAAAGAAAACTTCAAAATAGAAATAAATGTTGAATTAAATGTCTATAAAAGGCATCATGTTCACAACTCAACCCATAGTTTTACATATAAATTATACTTCATGTGGGATATGACTAAATACTACCCTTTCCCTAGATCCCCAACATGGATTTGAGTCAGGCAGAGGTGGGCCTGGGGAGAGAAGGGATGAGAAGAGGGAAAGAAGACTTTGCAACCTTGACCCTGAAGACATACACCTTCTGACCTCTCACCTCAGAGCCTCCATGATATCTTCTGGCCTGAAGTCATCAGTTCCTTCTAGAGTCTTCTGTAGGTACCCATATTGCAATAGGTAATCCTATGATGGTGGTAGGGGTAAGCAGAATAAGAAGGGGGTTAGTCTCAGGGTAAAGCTTCTAAGAGCCCTGACAGACCCGTGAGGATAGGAGGGGGCAGACATAGGAGGACTAAAAGAGAGGCACCTTAGGGAAGGGGCTCAGGTGGAGGAAGGGGAAGGAGTGGGAGATGGGCAGGGGTAGATCAAGGAATAGAGGAAGGAAGGGAAAGGCAGGAAGGTTGAAGGTCAGGAGGGAGGCTTGGACTGGACTGTGGAGCAGTACCCCCAACCTTCCCCTGGCCTGGGTCCCTCTTTCCCAGGGGACTCACCACTGCTGCCTCCTTCTCTGCAGTCCCCAGGGCCCGGCCTGAGACTGTCATGGGGAGTAGGAAGCCCAGCCACAGTGGCTGCCAGTTCATGATCCCACCAGGCAGGAGCTTCAGAGGCTGTCTGTGCCCTCTGCCCTGAGGTGTCCAGGAGCTGGGGGAGCAGGGCTAGTGGGGGGCTCTTACCTCCAGTTCTTCTCACTCTCCAGTCCCTGGTCCTCTTTATAAAAACTTCAAGGGAGGAGAACTGGGGGGAGTGGCAGTGGGAGGTGACTCAGCCCAGAGATATGTTGCAATTCACCGTTAACCCCTGCCCTGCCAGACAGCGGGAGTCAAGAAGAGCCCCCAACACACTCCCTCAGAGACATCTGCTGGAGACGGGAAGACTTTTCATGCTGTCCTGGGGGTGGGCATCCTAGCAGGATGAAAAGCAGAATCTCTGCAGGGACTAGGGATATGGACCATGGCCATCCCCTGGAGTTGGACATTCCTGTGCCCCAGGGGCCCTCGGGCAGCGGACCCCTCATCTTCAACTTTCATGTCTCCGTGCGTGCCCTAGGAGAGGAAAAAATTAAATAAAATCTAAGAAGTAGGAATCTTATTAGTGCTTGGGTGTCAGGTGAAGGAATCAGCGTGAGGTCTCAGTTTCTTTGTACTCAAGACCAAGTTGGGAATTTAAATGCTCTTGAAGCCTACTTGTGTCTGCTTTAATAAAAAGTCATTATTTCAAGCCTTTAATGAACCTGAAATGTGTAGGTGGGGGTTAACAAGGGCACAAAGAAGTAAAGGGTCAGAGCCTGCCTGCAGAGAGCTTACAGATAGGGTGAGGCTGACTCAGGTACCTGAAGTGAGGTGAACCAGGATGCCAGGTGGGAGGTGCCCCATCCTAAGGGTCATGGGGCTGTGGGTAGGTTTGAGGAGAAGGCAGGCTTTGAGCTGGGCATTGAAGGCTGGCTACGAGTTAGATGGGGTAAAAAGTACTAAGAGACAGGGACAGTGCAGGTCTTGAGTAAAAGTGCAGAGCTGAGAGTAGCAGGCTGTACTCAGTGAGTAAGTTCTGAGGGTCTGGACTGCTCATTCCCCACTGAGTCCTTCATACCTGCCCCAGACTAGCTCAGTGCTTAATAACCTTTAGTCAAACGAATGACCAGTATGGGAGAAGGGTTGAGAGTCACAGTTTAGAGAGAGTCTTGAATGCTATTTTAGGAAGAGGAGAAAGACTTACATTTAAAAAACCTACTTCGGGCCGGCCCCGTGGCTTAGCGGTTAAGTGCGCGCGCTCCGCTGCTGGCGGCCCGGGTTCGGATCCTGGGCCGGCACCGAAGCACTGCTGCTCTGGCCGTGCTGAGGCCACGTCCCACATACAGCAACTAGAAGGATGTGCAGCTATGACCTACAACTATCTACTGGGGCTTTGGGGGGAAAAATAAATAAATAAAATTATAAAAAAATAAAAATAAAAAACCTACTTTGTGTTAGGTGATTTATATATTATCTCATTTAATTCTCACAACCCTCCTATGAGAGAGGAATTATTCTGGCTATTTCTTTTATTTATTTTTATGTTTTGCTGAGCAAGTTTCACCCTGAGCTAACATCTATCACTCTATTTTGTATGTGGGTCACCTCCACAGCATGGCTGACAAGTGGTGTAGGTCCGCACCCGGGAACCACACCCAGGAACCAAACCTGGGACACCAAAGCAGAGCATGCCAGACTTAACCACTAGACCATGAGGCCGGCCCCGTAAAAAACGTACTTTGGGTTAGGTGATTTATGTATTATCTCATTTAATTCTCATAACCTTCCTGTGAGGGAGGAATTATTCTGGCTATTTTTTATAAGAGGAAATGGAGACCCAGAGAGGAAAACTTGACTAAAGACATGGAGCTCCTAATTGGTCTGGCCTATATTCAAATCCCTCTGCTGACTCCATGCTCTTTCCATGCACCACACTGACTGACTCTTAGAGCTTTGTTCTTTAAGTGGTTAGGAGCCACTGAAGGTTCCACTATCATTTATGCATCACACAACATTTGCATACTGTTCAAATGCACAGGGAAATAGGGATGACAAGGAGGGAAAGGGTTACTGAACTCATGTTCTTAGTAGGACCCCAGTTCTCAGCCCTTCCCCACATCCCAGGCTGAAAGGCTGGCAGGCTACAGGGCAACCCTTCACACCGCAGGATCCACGTGGGTGATACTCCTGCCTCATGCTGTTGCCCTCAGTGACGCTGGTCCCCTGGACCCACCCAGCACTCAACTGAGTAACAGTTGGGTGACTAAGTCCCAAAAGGCCAGTGACAGGCAAAGGAGGACAGACAGCTGATGATGTGAGTGATGAGTGACAGAAGCCATGACTGAGGCCATCACCAAGGCTGATGCCCCCAGGAAATGATGGAGCTTGGGAACCAGCTCCCCTCAGCTCTGCCCTTCTCTCCCTCTTTCCACCCTCGACCCCCAGTACCTCTTCTTTAGAGAACAGGACATGGGCCAATTGAAATTTATAATTTTTTTCTGATTCAAGATTTTTTTTCTGAGTAAAAGTTATCCACTGCTCATTGTAGTAAATTTGGAAAGTACCAAAATAAACAAGGAAGAAAATGAAAACCACCGGTAAATTCTACCCAGAAGAGAACCACTAGTAACATTTGATGCATTTACCTGAAACTGTCTTGTGGCTCTGAGTTCAGCTGCAGCTCTGCCTACCCAGCCTCAGCCCTGGAGAGGATCTGTGGCCGGGATGAAAGAAAAAGCAATTGGAACTGGTGAGGATAACGGGGGAGGGACAGGAGCTGAGGGTGGTAGGGGGAGAAGAGTAAGGTAAGATGAATGTCCTAGTAGGTGATTTCCTCCCCTGGACACCTCATATAAGCAAAACAGAAAAGGTGGAGGGGGGGGATGCCCAGGAGTGTGTGTTAGTGTGTTGGGGAGAGAGATGGTGGTTACTAGGAAAGGTGGAGAGTGGGCGCTCACTCTGCCTCGGAAGGCCCTAGAGATGGAACCACATTCTGGATACTAAAGAGACAGGAGAGAATAGAGTAAAATTGTGAAAGCTGCCAAATAGTTCACATCATTTAAATCTCAGCAACAGGGCCGGCCCCGTGGCTTAGCGGTTAAGTGCGCACGCTCCGCTACTGGCGGCCCGGGTTCGGATCCCGGGTGCGCACCGACGCACCGCTTCTCCGGCCATGCTGAGGCCGCGTCCCACATACAGCAACTAGAAGCATGTGCAACTATGACATACAACTATCTACTGGGGCTTTGGGGAAAAAAAGGAGGAGGATTGCAATAGATGTTAGCTCAGAGCTGGTCTTCCTCAGCAAAAAAAGGGGAGGATTAGCATGGATGTTAGCTCAGGGCTGATCTTCCTCACACACAAAAATAAATAAATAAATCTCAGCAACGACCCTGCAGACTGATATTATCACCTTCTTACAGAAAAGGAAATGGAGTCTCTAATAGGTTGCTTCAGGTCACTGCTGAAAACAGCAAAGCCTCAGGCTCAATCTCTGAGCTTCACAGCCTCCCAATAGTTTCCACAGACAAACAAAACCCCCCAGAGCCAGGCACTGCGGGCATGTGTGCAAGGTTGGCATGACTAATTCTGTTCCCATAATGGAATCACCCCCACCCCCTGAGCTGGGCTGACCCAGCTCTTTTTCCCTCTGAATTTGTCATCTCTCACTGGGGGAGAAGTGGAAATGTGTGCAAAGGGTTAGGACATGTGGTCTGCCTGCCCCCAAAAAGAGAACTTGATTCTGAGAGAAAGAACTCCTGGGTCCTTGGGCTTGCTTGCTCCCTTCCTGCAGACGGGTTTCCCTCTCTGCCCACAGATTGTGGCAGAAGAGTTTGCATAGAAATATTTTTAATTAAAATATTTTAAACTGTAGCAGGAGGGAGTAGGTTAGACTCTGAGACTGTTTTCTAATGATCAGGGGCTATGGGGCTAAGGGTGGAGGGCAAAGGTTTGTAGAGATCTCTAAGCCGGAAGAAGCCAATCTCTAAACCAACACTCAACCCCTCTGACAGCCACCCTTACCTGCATGGGGTGGCTTGAAGGGCTGGACACCCTGGTATATAAAGGGCAAGTCTGGGGCCTGAAACTGGAAACTAGAGGTGAGAAAAACATAGGTTGTAACCTAATTAGGGTTGGCCCAGTTTCCACCACCCCCGCCGCCATTTCTCCCGCCACCTCCAACAAAATGCTCTTGATCTAGAGAAATAAGGAGAAATGTGGTGTTAGCCTCTGGGCTGTTTTCCCCTCAGAGCCCTGAGGGAGTCAGGAGAGAGGAAACTTTCCCTGGCTGAACAGGATTGAGTTCTGGCCAAGCGGTTACCCTGGAAACCTCTGTTTTTAAGAGGACCCCCCAACACACACTCCTTTAATTAGTCATGAGTTCCTAGATGCCAGATGGGAAGCGATGGCCAGGATTGAGCACAGCTGGAACTGGTTAGTGACCAGGGAAGTGGGAGCGGTTTGGGGATGGCTCCTGGCCTGGGCCAGCACATTCTGTTCCCAGGATGCCCCAAACTTCCTCGACCCCTGTTATGTACACTTCCTGACATTCCCACCCACCCACTGCTCCTCGAACACACACCCACTGGGTCACGGGCCTGAATTGGCTCAGTTGGGAGGACATTAGACCCAAATCTTTAAATTCTTCGGTTCCTGTCAAAGTGTGAGTGAGACCAAGATCTGATCCCCTTCTGCAATCCACAGAAAAAGGTGTCCATGGGACCCCGTGGAGATTGCTGGAGGCTTCTGCTGGTGGTCCCATTACCTAGCAAAGTCCCAAAAGGATGCATGATGGGAGAGATTCTAGCCTCTGGAACAAGGAGGTGAGTAAAGGAGTAAGGAGCTTAATTTTCCTCCAGCATCTGGGATGATAGGGAAATGAGGGTAACGCAAAGGATTTTTGCTCTTTGTGGGAATGGCAGCCTTTTCCTTAACAAAAACCAAATTGATCTTTATTTCTTTTCCCAAGGGAAGTGGGATGTGGGGGAGTACTTTGGCCTCCTGTCCTCACTCTGTGAGCCCACGAAACAGATCTATCCTACTGGTTGGGGACTGTCATGTTTGGCTCCCTGTTTTGTTGGCAGAAGGGTTTGATGGGGGCTTGGCAAGGGAAGGAGTTCAGCCCTGACTTCCCCGTTTGCAGAGGGTAGAGACTAGCCGGGGGAGGGAGACCTGGGAAAGACCCAATTCTGTTT